AGGTAACTATGGGGAGGAAGTGGGAGGGGAGCTGTTGCATTGTGGTAAACTGTGGTCAATGTCATGAGACAAAGTATATGTGAACCTTTGTATGGAAAGTAAATTTGTTCTGTAAACCTTCACCCAAATCACAATAAAAAAGAAAGAAAGAAAAAAACCTTTCCCTCTAAAACATTTCTACTTCACTAAAATTTGCTTAAGATTTACCTGTCATTTCACAGGTTACCCTACTTTTATATACCTGTTCTCCATTTGACTATGAAAGTGTTTAGGACAGACATTTTCCACATTGTATCCACTTTCCAAAAGTGTGTTCAACTTTTATCTGACTCTGGATGTTACAGACTGAATTGTGTGTAACAAAAATATGTGTTATCCACAAAAATGACCAGAATTACTGGTCAGATAAAGTCTGGTGGACTCGAGTTTGTGGGTCTTTTTTTTTTCTAATTAACATAGTTTAAGATTATTTTAAGAGCCCTGGTGGTACAGTGGTTAAGAGCTTGTCTGCTAACCAAAATGTCAACAGTTTGAACCCACCAGCTGCTCAGCAGGAGAAAGATGTGGCAGTCTGCTTGTTTAAAGTTCTCAAATAACTGTTGTATGTTGTTATGTGCCGTGGAGTCAGCCCCGACTCATAGCAACCCCTCTAACTATACCACACCTAAATACTGTGTTTACCTTTGACACTAGACTTTAAAATTTAAAGGAAGTGACCAGATTGGTAAATGATACGGACACAGTAACGCATTATGAATAACTAAAGGAAGAACACAAAACATATGGCCTTTTGTATCAGCATTCTTAGAGAATATATGCAGAAAAAAAAACACATCAAACTCACTGCCATAGAGTTGATCCCAACTCATAGTGACCAACCCTCCTTGGGTTTCCAATGCAGTATCACTACAGAAGTAGATCGCCCAATTTTCCTTTCCAAGAGTGGTTGGTGGGTTTGAACCACCAGCCTTCTGGTTAGCAGTCAAATGCCTTAGATATTATGCCACCAGAGCTCCCAGAGAGTATGTGAGCATTCTCTTAAAATACTGCATATACTATATTTCCAATCAAGGCTCCAGAAATGGAACAACGGGTGACAGCTGCAGGAAGATACATTTTCTGCTCCCTGTCAGATACCAAAACCAAAAAACCAAACTCACTGCGACCAGTGGATTCTACTCATAGTGACC